TTGCAGGGCTTACTTTGCCTTTACCGCCTCTCCCCACCTAAACCATCCTGGGCTCTGCACTCATCATCTGCGGCCCTTTTTCGTGTGCCTCCTTCACATGAGGTCCAGAGGGTAGCAACACAAGAACGGTCCTTCTCTGTAGTGGCTCCCCATTTGTGGAATATATATATTTTGGATGCCAGGTGAAAACATTCCTCTTCAACCAGGCCTTTGGCTGATTAACCACAGAGCCTAGGACTTGCCGATCAGAAGCTCGGCAGTTCGAATCCCTGCAATGGAGTGAGCTCCCGTTGCTCGGTCCCTGCTCCTGCCAACCTAGCAGTTCGAAGCACGTCAAAGTGCAAGTAGATAAATAGGTACTGCTCCGGCGGGAAGGTAAACGGCGTTTCCGTGCGCTGCTCTGGTTCGCCACAAGCGGCTTAGTCATGCTGGCCACATGACCCGGAAGCTGTACACCGGCTCCCTCGGCCAATAAAGCTGCAACCCTAGAGTTGGTCACGACTGGACCTAATGGTCAGGGGTCCCTTTACCTTTTACCTTAGGAAGCGAGTGGCTATTGTTTTGCTGTTTTGTTTTAATGATTTACTGCTTTTTATCCTGTATTTTTATTCCATGAACCTCCCTAAGATCTTACGATGAAAGGTAGTACATAAATCTAACAAACAAATAAAATAAAAACAAATAAAATAAAATAAGCCCTCCTTGTGGAACAACTAGAGCCAGGTACAAATGGCAGATGCTTACAAATAATGAAAATTCTGAGGACAGGCATTGGTTTTGAGTACAGAAGACCCACAACTTACACATATTTAACTTGTGCGCATTCAGCTCTACACGCCTGGCAAATTAAAAAGAAAAATAGAAAGGGGTCGGGTGTCCAGGAAAAAGGCTTTGGCAATCCTACTGGCCATTGCACCCAATGTGTTTTGACTATATGGGATTTTAGCTTTATGCCTATCACTGGAACATAAACTGAGAGCCTCTTGTACCCAAACAAATAGAGCCTACAGTCCTTCTACACAAAAAAACCAGTCCTGCTACCCCAGGCTTTCAGCAGTATAATTTCAGGAGGTGAAATCACATGTATACGTGCCATTTTGTTGCTGCTCTTGCTAAACAGCTAGAAGTCAAGATTCCTCCCTGTGAATCGCTGCCCACCGTTGTGCTTCAGGACAAGGAGAGGTTGGTTTGTGGCCACAGCTAGATTCTAACAGCTGCCCAAAGAGAGGGGGGGCAGGAGTCAGACTAAGATACAGCTGTACATTTTAAAAGAAAAGTGGGTCCAGTACACAGCCAGTGAGATTTCTCCTCCTTCCAGGAGGAAAATGAAACATAGCAAAAATACTGAAATCTTACTGAAGCACACGAGATCCATATAACATGAACAGGACCCATATACATGAAGAAAACTGAAAGTCGACACACCCAACAAGAGTTTGGGTCCTCCTACTGAGGACACAAGTGGAAAGAAGACCCAGTGCTTGAAGTAGGCAATGGCTCTCTTTTAAAGTGAAGCAATTCTAATTGTGCAGGATTTGATTGCATTGCTCGACCATTCTCTGTTTGCCTTGTCCCTCTAGTATGGCCTGGCACAAGACAGTAAGCTGTCTGGGAAATGGATTTTTCCATCTCTTTGCCAATATATTAATGAAGATCCTGGAACACAAGAGCCCTTGTTGGCACCGCAATGCAATACCATGACCCAAATAAATAGCAACCATTAGGAAGGATCCCAGCCACATTACCAACTCATGACACCCTTTCCTTGGGGGGGGGGGGGGGCAACCTCTTTTTGTATTTGAAAACTTCTGCGAAGTCTTAACTGCCGAATGAAACCTTGTTTTGAAAGCTAAGGCGATTTTAACCCTCATGACTAAAGGGAAGAATGCAGGTTATATGGAGGCAGAATTAACTCTGCCAGCTCCTGTCTTTCTAAAAATAATTTTCAGAAAACGCTTTTAAATCCATCGGAGCTTCTAAAACATAGCCATAATTTGGAGTAATAGTGTAATTAGTGGCAATTTGCTCCATACAGTGAGCAAGAGGATTGGGGAATGTGTCGTGCATACAAGCCTACACAGTAGTTTCAGATGCTTCTGAAATTTTTGCTACAGCCTTAGTGAAATGACAGCCATACACTGCTCTCATCCAAAACCTGACCACCACTTTGAATGGAGGACAGAACCACTGAGAGTTAACACAAATCGCTATGTACACAAACACGCCCTTTCCGAATTCGAACGGCAAGCTCAAGAAACCATATACTGTGCGCAGCTTAATTTCACGTGCAAAACATCCGAATTCCAAAACTGAGGGGGGGGGCACAAAATGTACAGCAAGAGCAAATATTCAACTTATACCTAGATCAGGCATCCCCAACCTTCAGCCCTCCAGATGTTTTGGACTACAATTCCCATCATCCCTGACCACTGGTCCTGTTAGCTAGGGATCATGGGAGTCATAGGCCAAAACATCTGGAGGGCCACAGGTTGGGGATGCCTGACCTAGATCTTTCCATATGCATTAAAAAGGTCATGTGAAGCAGGCTCAATCACAGTATGCGGGATCTTGCAGCTGAGTTGGAGCAGTGCTGTTGGGACAGAATACAAGGCGTTCCAACCAGCTCCGGGCGGGGAAAGGTTTGGATGACGGAAACGAAGCCGTCTCCTTGCCAGCTACCACCATCCAAACTGAACTTGCATGCACACACCCCTGCAGATGCTTTAAAGTAAAAACAAAAATGTACTGTATCAGGAATCAAGGATTTACCACATGTGGCCTTTCAGATGCAGTTGGACTAAGACTTGGAACATCTCTGACCACTAGGCATGCTGGCTGGTGCTGATGTGAGCTGCAAACCCCTTGCTCTGGACACAAGGTGCACTTTTGACCACTTTCAAACTGCTATCCATTTTTTTATCCTCCCCCACCCTCAAAAAATACAGTGGTACCTCGGGTTAAGTACTTAATTCATTCCAGAGGTAAACTGTTCTTAACCTGAAGCACCACTTTAGCTAATGGGGCCTCCTGCTGCTGCTGTGCCGCCGGAGCACGATTTCTGTTCTCATCCTGAAGCAAAGTTCTTAATCCGAGGTACTATTTCTGGGTTAGCAGAGTCTGTAACCTGAAGCGTATGCAACCCGAGGTACCACTGTACTTTTATTTGTATTAATGCTTAAGCTGTATTTATCTTTTTCCAATGAGTGTTTCAAGAATGCTCATTCCGGCAGACGGCAGGTCTGTCATCAGAATACAGATGGAACATCTTTCTGAGAGGACTGTACCATGTACTCATTCTGAGAGGACTGCACCATGCGCCCTTCCTAAATACAAGAATTGGTTCTTCTTCCCCAAGCTTTGTACCTCCATTCCTTTCGTGTTACCTTAGCATCCCCCTTACCTACTGCCCCTCACAAAATTGCTTTCGGCACCTGCTGATGAACACTTTGCTGTTCGGGAAGTAGGTTCAGGAACACATGGATTTAGCTACCTAAATTGGCTGCAGTTTTTTCCACTGATTTGCTATTTGTTTCTTCACAATGATGGTTTTACATATATTTGCTTTTGACGGGTTCGTGGATTTCAGCTATGTTTTATCTTTGTTTACACAATTTCTAAGCAAAGGCATTTATGAACACCTATGCAATCCACCCCTTTTTCATGGTAGGTCCTCCCCAGAGTTTGGTGGCATCATTATGCGGGGTTAACACAGGAGCCACATGGCTGCCACTCAAAAGAGTGCTATTCAACTGACTGCACACAGAAAGAGACGCATTGGGCGGCCAACAACCATAGCTTCATTGCAATGATCTGAACGGAGTTTGAAATGCACATTTATTTTTCCAGGCCTGAAATATCTCCACAAAGAACATCAGCAGGGTCAAGGCTGCTGGATACCACCAGTCCACGCAATCAGATGCCGGCAAAAAAACTATCCAACCGATATATGACCTCCTTGTGTCGCAGAGAGAAGGATAATAAAAATGAGAATCGATACCAGCAAGAGGGCATCCTATGCTGCACATGAGGGGAGGAAACCAGGCAGAACCAAAACCAGTTACTGTATTAACCGATAAAAGGCCAATCCACCCTCAACAGGGTGGGAGGTGGTAAGGAAGGAGTATCAGAGGCAAAACAGCAAAAGACTTTAAGTCCGCCTTCCCCAAGATCCACAACAGGCATGGACTACCAGTCCCATATCATAGAATCATAGAATTGTAGAGCTGGAAGAATCCCATGGCTCACCTAGTCCAACCCCCTGCAACGCAGGAACTTGGCTTAAAACTAGGAGGGTTGCCGGAAAGGCACGTGAAAAGGCATCGCCATCTCTTTAATCCCTTTAGCAAGCCTTCCGTCCAAATCACAGTTCAAGCCGAGGTCACGGAGGAAGGAGGGAGACGCGGCAGCAGGTGCCTTTCAGCAACCCCCACCGCCCTGCGCGCGTTTCGTTTTGGAGGGGCTTACTCGCGAGTAAAGGCGGCCGCGCTTGGGATTCACGGGGCGGGGCGCGGGCAACCAAATAATCCCCGGGGTGCCAACCTGAATAAAATATGGAAGGAAACATCGCACCATCGGTCACATGCCGTGGCGCACCACCAACACCATTTGGGGACCCAAATGTTATGGGGGTGGGGAGGGCAAAGGGCCCTCGGCCCCTAGGAGTTAGTTCCTACGATCCCAGGGAAGGAACGAGCAAGGCGAAAAAGGATAGAAACAAAAACAGGCCCGGGAGGAAAGGGAGAGACGTTGGGAGATGCCCAAACCCCGCTCGAGGCAAGAGCTACCCTGCTGGCCGGTGGCACCCCAGCGCGCGCTCCCCTCAGCCCGCCTTCCAGCGCAGCTCCGCCGCAGGCCGGGCCCCTTCCTCCCTCCCTCCCTCCCTTTCTTTCTCCCTTCCTTCCATCCAACGCAGCGCTTGATTCCCAGTCCGGAAAGCGGTGGCTCCGGGTGCGCCTCCCCGTGCCAAACCTCGCTGCGCTGTGCGCCCCGCGCGCCCTCACCGGCTCCTGGCGCGCTCCGCGCTCCTCCACGACACCGCAGCAGTCAGCGGAGCACTCAGCAGCCGTGCCCAGCCAGGCTCCTCGGAAAGAGGAGCCCACCCAGCTCCGCCAGGGAGAAAAGGGAAGAGGAGGCGGCCGAAAGAGGGAGGAGAGGCGGGCGGGACACTCCCCGCGAGCCGCTTCTCCTCGTCCTCCGGCGCGCTCGTCGGCGAGGGGAGGCGCTCCGGATTGCCTGTCAGCGATGGAGCGCCGCCGCAGCCCGTTGCCAAGGCAGAGTGGGCTTCTCCTCCTCGGCAGGCGATGTTTCCGTTCTCTCACTCTCACTCCCTCACACACAAATACGGACAGCGAACACCCCCTCCCCCACCTGGTGTCCGGGTTTCTTGGCAACAGAAAGGCGCAAGGCGGCAAACTCCATGGGATTAATTTAATTAACATTCAATTTATTAAATGTGTAGGTAGGTAAAGGTAAAGGACCCCCGGATTAAGTCCAGTCAAAGGTGCAGCGCTCAGCCAGTGTTTGTTCACAGACAGCTTTCCGGGTCATGTGGACAGCACGACTAAACCGCTTCTGGTGCGACGGGATACCTGACGAGTGCCAGAGTGCACGGAAACGCAGTTTACCTTCCTGCCACAGTGGTACCTATTTGTCTTCTTGTGCTGGTGTGCTTTTGAACTGCTAGGTTGGCAGGAGCTGGGACAAAGCAATGGGAGCTCACCACCGTCACAGGGGATTCGACCCGCTGACCTATCCATCAGCAAGCCCAAGAGGCTCAGTGGTTTAGACCACAGCATCCCCCACATTAAATTTGTATACCGCCCTATACCCGTGGGGCTCGGCGTGGTTCACCACACAAAGCAGGGCCAAAACTAGGCTTTATTTCACCCAGGACAAAGACCCAGTTTGGCACCACCCATGTGCGCATTTTATACCCTCCAACATTTCTCTGATGCAAATAGGGAGTCCTATTCAATAATAATAATAATAATAATACCCCACCCATCTGGCTGGGTAGCCCCAATCACTCTGGGCGACTTCCATCATAGATAAAACATACTAAAACTTAGGGTTGCAAATGTCAGGAATTTAATGGAGATGCTGAAGCTGCAAGCAGCGCCTGGGCAAAAATCTTCAAAATCAGCTCAAAAACGTCCGGTTTTGCAAAAAAAAAGGAAAGAAAAAAAGCTAAAGAACTTTTTTGTCCAGATTTTCAGTTTTTGAAATATGACAACCCTAATTAAACATAAAAACCCCTTCCCTATACAGGGCTGCCTTCAGATGGCTCGGGGGCCACATGATGTCTAGTCAACATTTCAATGAAAGGGAAGATGTGACCAGTGAACAGAATGCCGATTGTCAATATTGACCCCCTTAGATTGTCATATAGTTCTGGCAGCCCACGGTTGAAAGCAAGTCTGACAGCTGTTTACAAACCCCTCACTACATGGTTTCGCTGGGAAGGACTAGGCAGATATATGCCGGCTTGTAATATGTGAGATAAGAGGGGCAGCCTCCAGCATACAATGGGCCCAGAGCCAAATGCCATCTAGCTCGGAGATGATTATGCAGCTCAGCATAATCTCCTTATACAGCCTAAGATCAGAAGAAGAATGGGGCAGAAGAAGCGCAACTCGGCTGATTTGGGATGTGGGATTGGTGTGCTGCATTAGGAGCAGCAGCCGGGAACCAGCATATGAGTGTGTGAACATCACCAGCCTTTTCCCCCCAATTATATTTTGTTAAGTTTCAACCCTGGGCGTAGCAGCTGCCCCCCCTCCCTGATCAAGTAAACAAATAAAAATACTTAACAAACCAGTTCTGTGTTGTCTATTATTTTACCTGTGCATTCTTCTTTGGTTGGAACTTCTTATTCCTCCCATTTCTGTGCATATAGAATCCTAGCTGGTGCTGTTACGTACATAAACAACTTTTGATTTTAAATAAATAAATTCTGCCCCTATAATCCCCTGGATTTCCTTGGCCAGGAACTCCTTATACAGCATCACGATTCCCATACATTTGGCCCTTTGGCAAGTCTTGCATGCCTGCGGTTCTGGCTGATCCGCTCTCCCCTATTAACATGTCAGAAGCGAGCTCTCTATAAACTTTACAGAGTAGGCAAAGGCAACTCTTTATTAGAAAAAACACCCCAGGATCTGCTCAGATAACCAGGTCTAATGAACACAGCAACTCTCTTTGGTAGGTCTTGCCTTGGTGAGGCAGTTGCAGAGACTAAAGGTCCCCGCCTTCCCACAAATGCCTAAATCTCCTCCTCTCCAGGGTTTTCCCCAAGCAATCTGAGACTGTGCCAGCATGCCTACCTGCCTGTGCTCCTCTCCCTTCATTCCTCTGGGAGAGGGGAGGGGAGCTTGTCATAGCAGAAGGGGGAGACCCCCTGTGCTTCTTCATCAGCCTCTGGGCATCCCTTCTCTCCAGCTTCCGTTTCTGATTCTCGACTTCTCTCTAGCACAGACTCTCCCTGCTCACTAAACCCTGTCACCTCTTCAGCTTCAGATACCTCCCCCTCTCAGTCTTCTCCCTCTGACCATTCATTGTCGTTCCACCCCCTGGGCTCTGAGCCTTCTTCCTTTGGGGGTTCCCCAGCTGATGCTTTCAACCATTCCTCTGCGTCCAACCAGTCCATGACGTAATATTTCCCAGCCGTCAGCACAGTAGGTTGCACACTTGCAGCAGATAGCTGTTGGCAACAGCGTTTGTTTAAGCACCTCGTCTCCCACACAAAACCATTACCATGCACCATGAAGTGATCACAGCAAACCTGTTTGCAGAAATATAGCATCAAACCCCACAGATGCCATGGAACGTACCTATGGGAAATAACAGAGACTAAAACAAGATGCCTTCACAAACAAACAGAGAAGGAGATAAAAATATTGCCTATTGGAACCTTCCACATTGGAACCACGGGAAATAATTGTGCCCTAGGAAGGGCTATTTCTATATATCCCACATTAAGCAATGACAGAATCTCTATTGTATAAGTAAAGTGCACTTGACCAAAAATACAGTTATGCAATGCAATGATAAGGACAGCCGTCCTGGGCATTTTGACATTTCACAAAATATATTTGGTTACAGGTAAAAGAGATTTCACAAAAACTGGGCAACAACCTTCACATTCTTAATACGATCACCAGTTGCCGAGAAATCATATTTACTCAGATCCTGTTAATATTACTAGGCTACCAAAATGATTTCAGCTTCTTGGTGGACACGCATTTTCAGTTGCATGGTAACCTTGGCAACAGTATTATATTTTTGGATCCCTAACAATGTATTCTGTTTATTGTAATCAAGTGATTTCAAGATGCTAGCTCTGGGCCACAAATAGAAGATCAGAGATTTGAGCGCATGGCTAAAATTTACTTTAGACGTATGAATATTTTTAATGGGATTTGTTTGTGTGCATTCCTGCACACATATATACATATCTTACATACCCATTAAAAATCAGGTCACTTTAACAAGTTCTTCTCTATTTGAGCAGGAATAAATGTGAATATTTACTGCTTACCGTACCTTTTTTTCAAATACGGGACACCCAAGCAACAGATAATTTAGATCCCATCTAGCAACCCAGCCAAATGGGTGGGGGATCATCATCATCACAATTTATTTATTATTATTCATATTGTTACACTGGTAGTTGCAAAAAAGCGTGTCAGTACTTTATTCAGAGAACCATCTGTAGAATTAATAGAAGTATAAAATTAGTATGTGAGCATGCAGATCCTTTTCTTAACCTATGGAAGTTTGAAAATGTGTGCCTTTGTTAGAATCACAATGTGACCACAACATCAGAGCCATGCATATTCCAGCTGATAGCCAACACTGCAGTAGAATGATCTCTGGTGGGATTGTACGTCTGCCGTCTTGCACTGGGGGAAGAGGAGCATTGATTTAGGGTGTGCTGATCTGACATCACACCACAATGCCACAATGAAACAATGGCAGGGAGAAAAGCAGCACCTTTTGAAAAGTAGCTGCCCAAAATGATTTAATAATATCTTGGCTACCTTGCCTTACAATGACAGATAATCTATACGCCATGTGTGCTTTTGAAAGAAGAACTCTGTGTCTATTTCTGATTCCATTTTATAATTTTAAAGGAGCAGGTAGCAAAGTGAGGTTCAATCGCTGCTGAACGTTCATAAGTTACCAAGCAAATGAGGGAAAAGGCAGAAAATAGCTCTATTATTTTTCTGAGCACCTGCCTGGTGTCAGCTTCAATGGAAAAGACCCTTTCAGTAACGGATACCCTAACTGAGACAGGTGGTAGCAGCTTCTGGTCGTGCAATTGATACAGGTGCTGTCAAGAACTGCACTGCAATGTTTATTCAAGTACCATGGAATTGGCAGGATAGCACATCTTCTGATGCAGCTGGGGACTCATATATAGGCCATATGTTGTTCTTCTGTCAAGCTGGGTCAGGGCCAGAATTTCCACATGGATTGCAAACATCTGCGCCACTTATAGCAGCTCAAAACCTCCACATTGCAATGCCTGAATTCACTTCAGTGTAACTGATATCAGCAGAGGACCTGGAGAATTTGATGGTGGGAAACATGGCCGTAACGTGGCTATATCTATCATAGCAAAAAACCCAAAAATGTGTGGGAAGGTAGGGTAAAATGTTTGCCGAAATTTTAGGATGTTTATTCCAAGGATGAGTACAAAACCTATGTATGTTCTGGCTTGGTTCTTTAACTGCAGCTTACCTCCCCTGGCCTGTAAACACAGAGATACACAAAACAGGAAAGGAAAGAATAAACTTCCACTCCCTGTGTGTGTGTGTGTGTGTGTGTGTGTGTGTGTGTGTGTATTTCTCCCATACTTTCTGACATCATCTCTCTAAAGAGTAACACGCCCATGAATAGAAGTACCTCAAAGTAAACCAGACAGATTTGCAGCCTGTGGTGTAGTGGTTAAGAGCGGTGGACTCGTAATCTGGTGAACCGGGTTCGCATCTCCGCTCCTCCACATGCAGCTGCTGGGTGACCTTGGGCCAGTCACACTTCTTTGAAGTCTCTCAGCCCCACTCACCTCACAGAGTGTTTCTTGTGGGGGAGGAAGGGAAAAGGAGAATGTGAGCCGCTTTGAGACTCCTTAGGCTAGTGATAAAGCGGGATATCAAATCCAAACTCTTCTTCTTCTTCTTTTCTCGTAATTACTATTTCTGGCATGGTGTCCTTGCAGACCCTCCAAGTGTCCCTATTTTCCAGGGTTGTCCCTGATTTTGAGAAGTCGTC